TCGGTTGCGAGCTTGAACTCGCGAGGAGTTACGCGCTATAGGGAGTGCAATTTGTAAGGGGGTTAGGTGCCCCGAGACGGGAGTGTTAGAGGTCAGGAGAGGAGTTGCCTGTATAGAAGGACAGGAAGGGCGACTTTTCCTATTCGAGATGTGAGCGGAAGGGTGATAACGATATTGAGGGCGAGTGAGAGCTAGATTTAGGCATTTAGAGATCGGCAGGACCAGTTCTGACATTAGGTCCGGGTTGCCGGTTCAGACATTAGGTCCGGGCTGCCGGTTCTGACATTAGGGTCGGGCTGCTTATTCGTGGGATAAGGACAGTAGCCTCCCGACACAAACGCAAACCAGAAGGGGACTAAAGTGTATGGAGTCTGACACGATGGGTCCACATTTGGACGAAGAACAACATACCACTGTGTACCGAGCATCACCGGATCGTGCTCTGCGAGATCTCAAGGAGCGTATCAGACAGAACACTCCATTGAGATGTGTAGAGCAACCTGACGATGGGGAGCCAGAGGTAATGGTCTGTCCGGTCATTGGACAGCCAAGCAAGGCCACCACGGTGGTACGGATGGAGAGCAGGACCGAACCTCCGAGTTTCAGGCGAGAGTCAATCGTTCGACATTCACCTACGTACAAGTGAAGAGATGCTAGAGGTGACCGAGGTCGGGAAGACTGGAGGGACCAGTACATCCGGGAGCAGCTCTGGAGGGACAGAGAGAGGGCCACACCGCCTAGGCGGATCTACGACCCACAGACGGGCAAGTCGTATTCCCTACCTTATGAGAGGAGGGATAGGTACATCATCTCGCACCAGCCTTCGGAGTCAGACACCAGACCCCCCATTTTCAGGGGATACGGTATCACCGAGTATCTCGAGAAGTGGGAGCTACACGCATACCGTAGTCAATAGTCGGAGGACGAGATTATAGATAACCTCTTATTTAACACGGACCTGAGCTTGAGTCAAGTGATTAAAGAAGCCCGACCCAAAGATGGACGATGGAGTACCTATAAGGCCAATCTCCACGAGCTCTTCAAGCTAGATTCGATCCGAGACTTGGAGCTGATGACCCAAGGTGAGGATGAGAGTGTTCAAGCCTTTGGAAGGCGATTTCAAAAGATATCCGACGACATTATTGCCAAAGGGAAGTTGTCGTAGGTCGAGAGATGTACGATCTTCATCGGTCGACTGCCCAGAGGGAAGCAGAAGGGAGTACTGAGAGAGATGCATCACGATAAGTTAGATTTTTCCGCGGTACTCAAGTTGGCGATGAAGGCTAAGGCCGATGATTATAAGGATTTAGTCTGGAGAGGAATGCAGCATAGGGATTTCTCCCTCTATCGGAAGTACGAGGCGGATAGATGCCTCGACTTTAACGATCAGCCTTGGGCAGAGCATCGATATTTGATGGACAGGGACAGACTGCAACGACCAAGGGACAGAGAGACGGTAATAGACGAGGTGAGAGAGATGAGAAAGATGATGAAGGGAATGGCCAGGCAAATGGCCAATATCGAGACTAAGACGGGAGCCACTACTTATCGGGACAAGCCTGGGTCCCCCTATTCATTGTGATGGGACCGCGGGAATGCCGACCTGTGGAGGAGCATCGAGGATAGAAACCCTCGCACGCTAGCGGACTATCGCGCGAGAGACGATGCCTGGCGACGTAGAGATGACGAGATTGAGAGAGACCGCCGGGGTGACGGGTATCGGGGAGTAGACGCTTTCAGCCGAGGACGAAGGCTGGAACAGTATCCGCGCAGTCCCAGATATGGAGGGAACATGGAAAGATACCGGAGCCCGGGCAATTTTAATTCGAGGGACATAGATGACTCCCGCGGCAGATGGGAATCGGGCAGGGACCACCGTGATGGATATTGTGGTGGTTACGAGAGAACAGAGCGAGGTGGAGGTCGCCGGGAAGACTCACGCGGGCAGTATGATCGAGGAGGATATCCTGCGTCGCCCGGGTACCCAAAGTCTCCTAACTACCCCAAGTCCCCTGATCTGTCCAACCAAGATGTCAGGCCTGCGAGGGGGCCAGTTATTAGGGGCGCATGTGAGGGACCCCCTACTCCTAGGAATTCCTGCATCTGTTGCAGGGCAGATGATCACGTGAAGAGGAACTGCCCTGACCTCAGGCGGGCAATAGATGGACTTGTCTTACTTTATGATTGCAAGTATGTCAAGTGGGCAGATGACCTCGGCAACGTGTCGATGTTCCCTTCGATGAAGGAGAACATTGAAGCCAGGCGAGTACGACCAAGGGTAAAGAAGTGGCAAGGAGCCAGAGTGTGCGATTGAGTTTGCCTTCTGACGACGGGGCGCCTGTGACACCCATACGGGTAGCGGCGACTAAGTCCGCAAGGGTGACTTCTTCTAAGAAAACTGACACCGATTATGTGATGGAAGAGAAGGATGGACAAAGGATTGAAGGACAGGAAGTCGTACTTTCGCCGCGCAAGTGCGGGGGCCCGAAAGTTTACTATGAAGAGCACCTTGGACGATATCGATACAGTTGAGCCTCTCAGACGCGCGCTTAGGCAACCAATGCAGAGCACGATACTCGAGTACTTGGCAGCCTCGAGACCCGCGCGGGATGAGCTACAGATCATCACGCGCAAGACGCCTATTCCTCTAGGGGACGAAGTCCAGATGACTTCCAAACCAGAGGTACCCTCCGTGGCAGTATCGGGAGTGTGAGCTAAGGCAGAACGCACAACAACAGAGTATTTGGATGGAATGGAAGGCGTTCCACCTGACAAGTTTTACATTTTAGGTAGTGGAACAGTGGAGACGATTCTAAATGACGAGGTAGTCCTCCATGGACCTTGACAGGTCTTACCTGTTCGAGATAAAGACAGCCGATGGAAGAAAGCAGAAGATATCCGGAGTTTGTCATAAGGCGGCCATTGAGGTCGAAGGGTTGCGTGTGTCGATGCCTGAGTTCGCAGTCAGGGACTGCAGTTCGGAGTTACTACTGGGGCGAACGTGGTTAAGCCATGTTCATGCGGTTACTATAGAGCGACCGGACGGAAGCCAGATGCTTTCTATTAAGCGTCCGGATGGTGGACGGATTATGATAGAGACAGTCGAGCCTCGTGATCCGAGGAACAGAGCGGCCCTAGCTGCTGGTGACCGCAAGCCGGTTACACTCGCGAGTCGTTCCTTGCGATTCCGCGAAAAGAAGTATGGGGCATTGCTTACAGAAGAAGAAGGACGCATAGTAGAGGTTGAGGACTTAGGAAATCGCATCCTTGTGGGTGAAAACTCCTATCCAAAGGCTGAAGACGAGGAATTCGGAGGCATGATCTCTGAGTCTTTTTTAAGGGCGCAGCCCCCTACGTGGGCCGACCAAAGAAGCACAAGACAGTAGCTCAGAAGTTAAGTCGGCGGCGGTAGCTCGAGAGCGATCCGCACTAGATGGGATATCTGAGGAGGAGATCGGCAGGAAGATTAAAGAAAGGAAGAAGAAGGAGCCGCAATGACTGACAGAAAAAAGGACAGCGGAGATGGACATAGGAGATGGGAATTTGACGGAACAAGAGAAGGAGCGCGTGCTAGAAGTTCTTAAGACCTGCAACAAGGCCATAGCTTTTAGTGATGCGGAAAGAGGAAGAATCGATCCTAGGTATGCCAAACCTGCTAGGATCTACACGATTCCTCATACTCCATGGAATGATGCAGGGTGGAAGTTCACACAAAAAGAAAAGGAATAAGTAATTGCCTTTCTAAAGGAGAATATGACGTCACATGTGGCGGAGCATTCTGATAGTGCTTATGCGAACAGGTGGTTCTTTTTGTTGAAGCCAACCGGGAAGATCATATGGATTTAAGATCTTCAGAAAGTTAACACGGTTACTATCAGGGATGTAGGGTCTATACCGCACGCTAATCTATTGGCAGAAGGAGCGGCAGGGATATCTATCTACTATGTTTGCAATATTTTTTCGAGTTATGATGAGATACCCCTAGATCCTAGGGATAGGCATCTCACTGCCATGCACACTCCACTCGGATTTGTGCAGATGATGGTCGTGCCCATGGGGTGGACCAATGGGGTTGCGGTCTTCCAGAGAGCTATGGTAGCTGTTCTGAAGGACTTCATTCCTGACAAAGTTGAAGGCTTTTTGAACGACTTTCTGATAAAAGGGCCTGTATTGAAAGATGAGACGGAGGTTGCTCACGGCGTCAGGAGATTCGTAGAGCAGCACCTAACGGACATCTACGCGGTCCTGGAACAGCTAGATGAAGCTAACCTGACAGTCAGTGGGACGAAGAGCCGGTGGGCAGTCTCGACGATTAAGATTTTAGGGTTTATATGTGATTCGAGGGGTCCCCGAGCGGACCCTGCAAAGTTAGACAAACTCCTGAACTGGCCGACTCCGTTGCATAGCGCTACCAAAGTCCGCCAATTCTTAGGAGTTGTGGGCTACTGGCGGATTTTCATATGTGGATATGCCGAGAAGGCTGAACCTTTGCGAACCCTCCTTAGGAAAACAGAGCGTTTTTACTAGGATTCTCCTCAGGAGCTTGCGGTACAAACCCTCAAGGAAGAATTTAAAGAAGGGGGTAGAATCCTGGGAGTACCATTCTTCGAGGACGAGACCAATAGACCCTTCATAGTGTCTACAGAAGCTGGACCATGTTCAGTGGGAGGACTGCTTTCTCAAAAGGGCGCTGACGGTAAGGAGAGGCCGCTGAGATTCGAGAGTCGTACGCTCAACACCATCTCGGCCAGTTTACGACGGGTATCCGCGACTTTCGTCTTTTTAGGGGTGGTTCCTACTAAGTTCCGAGGGCTTGTTCTCGTATCGTTTCCCCCCTCCCTGTTTTCCTGAGGTCCCCTTTTGCTACCCCCAGCTTTCCCCGAGCTTTCTCCTGTTGAGAGATCCTTCCCGTCTTCTCGGGTTCCCTCTGGTTTGGCTGACTCTCGATCCCTCGCTAATCCCTCATTTCGTTCTCCATCCTCATTCGTACCCTGACTCACTTTGCTCTGCTGATCCTCGATTTCTTCCTCCATCGCTATTCCTTTACCTAGCCTGCACATGGAAATTTTTTTTTTGCGAAACATGGCCGGTTGTTCATAACTGCCCTAGTCCCGGCCCTAAAGTCCGCCTATTCCCATATTTTTGCGTCTTACATTAATCAGTATAACTCTTCTGACTTTTTTCTCCCGAGGCGTCCTTCAGGTTTTCTTCTACCGGGGCCTTGTCGCCGCCGCTTGGCATTTCATTACTGCCGCGCTTTGATTCTTAGGGCGGTGCCTGAGCCCAGTGGCTTCCCTATCAGGGATGGCCCTTTTGGCTTATTGGCATCCAGGTGCCCCAAAATTTTTGGAGCGGGTGGTCTTCCTAATTCCTCCCTGCCGCATCATTGAGTCGGTCGGAACTCCAACCACTGTCCCTCTTTTGCTAATGGCTGCCTACTTATCCTAGTACCCATCCTTTATTTCCCTACCTCTTCCTGACGCGTTTTCTCATGCTGGTCCCTCAGGCCTGCCCTGCTCATCCGGTTCCTCGAACAGGTCAGCCAACCTAGCAASGTAGTTTTCCCCCATCTCTATTTCCCTGATAATTATTGGCTCGTATTCTTCAAACGACAGGTGGGGCAATCCGAATATCAAGATCTCGAGTAATTCGAGTAGTTCCCAGGCCTGATTCCCCCAGAACGGCCCATGTCTGACCGACACATCGTAAAACATGCTCGTTGTTTGTGGCCGGAAGAGGTGGATCCAGACCAGGGTCGAATCCACCAGGCCCCTAGCTCTCTTGAGGCTACCGAATACCAAGTCCACCATGAAACGAGGTACTCGACACCTCAACCCGGTTATTGGGGCCTTAAACTCTCACCAGCCTCCGACCTCCACCCGAGTTCTTAATCCCACGTTCCTTCTCCCCCGCACTTCCTGGCCCACCCTTTTCAACATCCTAGTAGCCCTCCGGAAGATTGGTAGCGACCCGTGACCTAGTGCCAATTCCGTTCCTAGCATGTACCATCCAAGTTCCGGGAGGTATATGGTCCCCATTACCCTAAGATCGGTATACAGATCGTCTCCCGGTCCCCTGTTAATTCTCATACCATCCCACAAACATTCCACCATCATGAACGCCTGACCTCTTCCCAGGGTCACGACCCTCCATTCGATGTCCAATCCTTGGATCATGTAGCTTGCTGGGAGTGATACCTCCCATCCGCCTCCACTTTCCGTGGGTGGCCGCGGGTGTGTGGACCGTCGCAACATCCGAGCGTGTCTCATCGCCATTTTTGACTTAGTAATCCCCTGCACAGCTTAAACAGGAAGCGGGTTTACTTATTTCATTTAAATCTTCAGCTCCCGCCCGAACACTCCCCGGTTTCTAGCTTGAACCTTCCTTTTCTTTCCTTGACCTCTTTTATTGGTCCGTCCCTACGTCCATCGGCTCATATAATCGGTACAGATCATCCACGTACACCATCCCTTGACTTATTTCCCGTCGGATGACACCCCACAGGACCTCACTTCCCACGACCGGAGCCCTCGGCCTGGTGCTAAACACCGCACCACGGATGCGCAGCACCTCGTACTTCTGCTCTCCACTGAACGGGCCCATTTCTAGGAAGGCCCGATAGTATTCTCGATGTACCATCGCATCTTCATATGTCAGGCTTGCGAGGTCGGCTACTGCTCGTCTAACAAGTCCCAGACCGCCCAGCCTTTCCAGCAGGAAGGGCGGCAACCTCATTCGTACATTTTCACTAGGCAATTCGAAACTCCCGACCATGGCTACCCTAAGGTCCGCTGTTACATTGTCAACCCCCGCTCGCCATACTAAATGCCATGCCCCTTCAAACATGCTCAACGGGTGTTCTCCTGATGTCGGTCGAACTCCGAACTCCCTCCACCCATCCTCTGACACATACAACCGTCCTTCTACACGCACATGCCCCCGCGGGTCCGGGTTCCATACCCCATTCTCATCTGCACGCCACTCAACTTCCGTCACCAAGTAAACCATATTTTCCGCAAGCTCGACCCCGACCCAATCTGCCACTTGGTGCCAGCCTTCACTTGCCGTCGGCAAGCTAACCTCTAGCCCACCCGGTACTTCCCTAATCGGTTCAATGCCCAAGGGGCGTTCCTCAAGGAGCGTCCTTCTTCGCGCCATCGCACACTCACCTTTGATCTCCTGGCTCGTGATCCGCACTGAACCCTACAATGGCCAGGCATCCCATTCCCTTATCTTAGCAACTTTTCCCATATTTGCCTGGCCCCACGACTTTCCTGTCGGTGTTGCTGCTACCTCACGGCGGATTATGGCCTCCCTAGTTTTCGGGGCCACCTCCTGCCGGTCATTCTTTTCAATATCCAAAATGATAAGGACCTCCCGGGCTCTATCGCCATGGAAGGGCCCGTATTTGAAGGACGTCCTATAGAATTCCTCTGCCAGCCATGCGCAGTTCACGTGTATTCGCTCCATCGTGTCGGCTACCTCTGTTACGTGATCAAAGCCCCCAAACCAGTCTGCCACGAACTCGGGCACACAGGTCTTGGTTCGGGTGCCAGGCGGTTTTCCTTCCATCCGCCCGTCACGACTCTACTGCTGACCGTATCCCAGCCCTAGTTGGCGAACTTCTCCCCTGCCTGCCGAGCCCTTGCCTCAGCGTCCCCTAGGAGCCACATCGGGTTCTGTCCTGCCGCGAGCGTCGTGCAGAACAGATGCCAACCTTGCTCCGAGAGAATGACCGTCCCAACCGACTCCACCTTTCCTTCTGCAATCTCCTCCCATCCTTCCTCCTCCCTCAACGGGTTCCAAGCACGTTCTATCCATAGGTACGACAATTCTGGCACAATTTCATGCCCTCGCCAGTCACATGTGGTCCCCTTCCATTCATAACTCGGTGGTATAGACATCTCTACCCCCCTCCTGACTCGCTACGGTTCCCACGTGCAGTCCCATATCTCGAGGTCCCGGACCATCGCTCCCTACCTGCACATAGTCGACAGCCCGTTTTCCAGATAAGTCCCTCCATCATTTTCAAAAGTCCCAGTCCTCTATCTCGTCCCCGTCCTCGTCATCACTGGAATCCCCCTCCTCGTCCAAGAACAACTCTTTCACTCCCTCCAGGAAGGTTTCACCCGCCGCCACATTCCGGTAAACTATCTGCCAATGCACCGGGCTGGGAACAAAGATTTCGTCCACGCTGAGGAGGTTTAACACCTCAGAAATGGTCTCTCCACGGTTACTATCTAGCACATTGATACAGCCTAAAGAAGCCCTGTCTAGCACATTGATACAGCCTCAGGCGCGTCATCGACCGGCATATCCGTTCCAATCTATCCATGGTCCCAAAGACTGCATCCACCAGAAACAGGGGTAGCACGCACCTCATTGTCCTAAGAGGACGTCTCATATTTTTCCGGTCCCCGAGTTCCCCTCGCACCTCCATCCTTTCCATCTCCATTTCTACCCGCTGACATGCTGCCCATACCACTTCCCGTTCCGCTTGCCTAAACAGCTGATCCGGTGCCGTGCCCAATACTAATCCCATTACCATTGCATTTTCCAATTCCTGCGACAGGTAGACCCACCCTCGAGCTTCCACTGTTCCTCGGAATTCTAGGTCCATCAAGCTAGGTGAGAGTCTCGTCAAGCTGACCTTAGTCCAGATTGTCTCTATCCAGCGGAACGCGCCCTTCTCGTCCATTATCACGGTTTCATAGGCCGGTTCTAGGTCGGTCCACGTCCCTTCTTCCGGAAGAACAACAGATACCCCATCCCTTACCTCTATAGGCATTTCCGGACCACTAGAGTAGACAGGAGGCGACAACCATCGCGCCATCTTGTTTCCCGGCGCTTGTCCTGTTTTCCACATGAGAGCACCACACGGCCCCTCATGGTCAGATGGTTTGCTTTTCCTTTTCTAGATGAGAGTTCTTTTCAGACCCCTCATCCGGGTCTCCCTAATTTTTCTTATCCATTTCTCAGGTGCCATTGTCCTACCATACCCCCAATCGATCATGCTTAGCCGCCATTGCTTTCTCGGGGTTCCTTTTTCTTCTGACTCCTATCCAGCCTCTTCCTCGGGGTTCCTTTTTCTTCTGACTCCTATCCAGCCTCTTCCTCGTGTTCTCTCACTCGTGCGGACTTAGACTTGGAGGTGAGAATAAACTTAAAAGCTCGCTCCCCATCCACCATTCATCAGGCAACTTTACAGAGGGAGGCACAACAAGCAAAACTCAGGCAAACGTCGCACACAGGTCGGTCATCTCCTCACCGACCTTTTCCCCAGAAATGGTCTCTCCACTATTACTATCGGCAGGGTTTTATCCCATACCTCAAGCACAGCTCAACCGTCGCGACCGCGGTACCCAGACTCCAGTGGGGGGTCGCCCTCACCTTCTTGCCCAGAATACCCCATCCCGACTTGCCGCTCGTGTACCCACCGTTAATCTCGGGAATCACCCCGCACATCTCGGTAGGTCATTGGAGCCAGCCGTCCAGGCATTCACTTCCATCGGTCCGATAAGGAATAACCTTTCCCAAAACAAGCTACGATAAGCTACTGATCGCCTCCCAGGCTCCGTCTTTGCCCCCATGCAGTGGTGCTCCCTCCACCAGTCCACAGGCTAGGCCCCGCCTGAGGAACGTTTCACACCCCGCCCGGCAGATCAATCGAGCCGAAGCCCGTCACCGAGCGGACGAGAATGCTCATAAGCACTCGACGTGACAAACTCCCATTAGACAGCTCGGTGGCCTGACCCCCGCATACGAACAAACGACAGTCTGCAAAGAGAACGATGTTTGGCAACCCGCAGTGGCCGGTGCAGACCCCCCCTTTCCTTCCAAATGGCAGGACGCTCAAAATCCCAATCATGCAATCACAAGTCCCAAGTGGGACACATAGAACAAGTGCCTTTCCCTTGGTGCCCCCAGCGCTTCCTACCCATTGCTCACAGGTTTTCACTCAGGACAGTGTGTGCCACTCACCCCTAAATTCCATACATAGTGCCCGGTTCCTTCTCGTGAGCATCTTCAAAGGCGAGCTAGTTTTCCTCGGAGTCTAGCAACTCCCTTTATTCCCTTATCTTTACTTGTGTGTCCGTTCATAGGGCATGATCGTTCCTTCTCGGTTACCCTTTGTGTTCATATGAGGTTCCTTCAAGCATTAAGTGTGGTGCATGGAGCCCGCTGGGCTCTAGAGAAAAGGTAAGAGAGCACCCGTGTCGGTCGGATCACTCCGCTGCGGGATTTTCGTTGGAACCCGGACTGGCCCGGAATTCCAACCGCCTGTCAGGTAACCGCAACCCTTCTTTCACACGAAGAGGAAGGGTCGACCTGCAGCTTGCCCAAGGCTTCCCCGGTCTGACGAACATCAGCCCGAGGGAAGGAGGACTAGAGTCATCTCCAGGGGAGATGGCTGATCAGGCGTGCAAGCATGCATGTTATTCCTCCAGGCCTGGCCTTGCCATGCGCCCAACCACCCTCAAATCTGATTCACTCAAGGGATAGAGCATACACAAGTCCATATTACTTATCTTCACTTATGTACGCGGTCATGCGTCGGGCGCCCCCCTCGAGATCGTCAGGGTCAGTTAAACCCACTACCCGACACCTCCACCATTTTTGTAGGGGCCGTACCCTGAAGGACTTTCGAGCCTTGGTCAACCCCACTGCGGTTCCCACTTGGCTCGACCCGCCCACGCTCAAGCTCTAGGCGCGGGTCGTTCGTCTCAGGGGCACCCCCACCTAGTGCTATGAGATGGATGGGGGTGGGCCTTGTGCGAGAGGGCTTTACATTGGGGGATGTAGCTCCGCTCTCGCGTCAAGATGGTAGCTCTTTAGGCACTCGTGGCGTTTTCTTGATTCAGTTAGGTCTGACCAGACAATTGCTCCTTCCAATACGCAGGCAGTCCAGGGGGGTTCATTGAAGTCTCGTCTTCTTATCATGCGCAGGCCAAGCGTCATCCATTGGGCCACGCACCTTTTCACTAAGCCTAGCGACTCTGGGCAGCCCCGGTGGCATCCTTACTAAGGCGGCGCCGCCCGGATCCCTAGCCGCTATATTTTTTTTGCGAGAGCCACTAGCATCGCATCACCTATCCAAGACCGCCCTTAGTCTTTTCAGAGGTCGCATTGTACATGAGAGAGACATTTCATGCAGCCTCCACACAAAACAAGTCCATGCATCAACCATCCACCCAAGCGTCCGACATCAACTCATCCCGCACCCAAGGCTTAAGCCGGATCCAAGTCCTTTCCTTAGCCAATCTCCCACCCTAGTCCTCATCCGCGGGTCCAGCCCCGTCCAAATCGTCCCTAGCTACTCACCTGCGCAAGACCACACAAGACAAATGACCAAGTACAATCCCCATTGGGGTCAACACATCGCCCCTTCCCGCAATCCTAAGTTGCCTTTGCCTTTCAATTCCCCTTATGAGTTCCCTTCCCTTTCCCATAGGCAAGCCATGCGATCGCCTCAGTCATGCATTCCGGGAGGATGGTTGAGTCAAACTGACCTCGTCCAAAATCAGCACTCTTTTTCGCTTTCGCAAATCCTCTCAATAGTCCCGTATCCTTTCCTTCTTGGTGGCACAAGGGACCGGCAACCCTTCCCTTGCCCTCGCTTTCCACCAAGTGAGGACTAAGTTCCTTTCCGTTCGTTCCCTGACAATGTAACAGGTGAGGGTAGAGGTTAGTCACGTGTCATGGAGGGGGAAGGGGTGACGGAAGGGTTAGGGGTTAAAGAGTTTTGAAGGAATGGAGGAAGACGGAGGGAGAGGGAGAGGAAGAGAGAGAGAGAGAGAGAGAGAGAGAGAGAGAGAGAGAGAGAGAGAGAAAGAGAAAGAGAGAAAGAGAAAGAAGAAGATTCTCACCCTAATCGACCTTGCTCATTGACTTACCCTAATCGATCCTATCCGAGGTCCCGGGCAACCCCCCTTGCGATTGACTTACCCTAACCGATCCTATCCGAGGTCCCGGGCAACCCCCCTTGCGACCCCCCCCCCCCCCTTCCTTAGGACTTTCGGGTGGACAGGCGTGGGTGATGGAGGAAGGAGGGTTGAGGGTGATCGGCTATGGTGAACGGGTGTGGGTGATGGAGGAAGAAGGGTCGGGGGTGGTTAGCTATGGTGGACGGGTGTGGGTGATGGAGGAAGAAGAAGGGTTGGAGGTGGTCGGCTATGGTGGACGGGTGTGGGAGATGGAGGAAGAAGAAGGGTTGGGGGTGGTCGGCTATGGAGGACCGGTGTGGGTGATGGAGGAAGAAAAAGGGTTGGAGGTGGTTGGCTATGGTGGACGGGTGTGAGTGATGGAGGAAGAAGAAGGGTTGGAGGTGGTTAGCTATGGTGGACAGGTGTGGGTGATGGAGGAAGAAGAAGGGTTGGAGGTGGTCGGCTATGGTGGACGGGTGTGGGTGATGGAGGAATCATAAGGGTTGGAGGTGGTTGGCTATGGTGGACGGGCGTGGGTGATGGAGGAGGAAGAAGGGTTGGGGGTGGTCAGCTATGGTGGATGGGTGTGGGTGATGGAGGAAGAAGAAGGGTTGGTGGTGGTTGGCTATGGTGGACGGGTGTGGGTGATGGAGGAAGAAAAAGGGTTGGAGGTGGTTGGCTATGGTGGACGGGTGTGGGTGATAGAGGAAGAAGAAGGGTTGGAGGTGGTTAGCTATGGTGGACGAGTGTGGGTGATGGAGGAAGAAGAAGGGTTGGAGGTGGTCGGCTATGGTGGACGGGTGTGGGTGATGGAGGAAGAAGAAGGGTTGGAGGTGTTCGAGATTGGAGGAGCGGAGGTGACAGTGAAAGCTTATCGGACACAACCTAACTCTTAACCCCATGCCCCCTTTTCTACCTAGGGTGCCCGGCCACCTCATACTATTCTCGGAAGGCACCGGTTAGGTGAAAGAGGAAGGACTGAGCGGGGCTACCGGATTGCAACACACACACCTACTCATACCGCAGGTCACCGGTTGCAGCAAAGAGTAAGGGTGGGTTGAACAGGTTACCGGGGACTGCAGCACGCACACCCACACATACCAGGTGTCACTGGTTACAGCAAGGGGTAAGGGTGGACTGAACAGGTTATCGGGCATTGAAACACACACACATACACATGCCAGGTGTCGCCGATTACAGCAAAGGGTGAGGATGGACTGAACAGGTTTTCGGGGCCTACAACACACACACACACACACATACCGGGTGTCACCGGTTACAGCAAGGGATAAGGGTGGACTGAACAGGTTTCTAGGGCCTGCAACACACACACACACACATATCGGGTGTCACCGGTTACAGCAAAGGGTGAGGATGGACTGAACGGGTTACCGGGGACTGCAACACACACACATACACACATTACAGTCAAATAACAAGATTAAAGCAATTTGTCTAGAGGAAAGTTCGCCGAGGCACCCCAAGGCAATTCGCCACTTACACATGCATCAAGATCAGTGAAGGCACAAGTTTGGGAGCATCTAATCCATGAGAAAGTTCGTCGAAGCACCCCAAGGTAACTCGCAACTTACACATGCATCAAATCAGTGAAAGCACAAGCTTGAGAGCGCCTAATCCAGCGGAAAGTTCACTGAAGCGCCCCAAGGTAATTCGCAACTTACACATGCATCAAATCAGTGCCAACTCAAGATTTCAAGCATCTATACAAGGGAAAAGATCACCGGAGCATCCCAAGATGAATCGCAACTTATCCAAGCTCCCAAATCATTGAAAGCACAAGTTTGCAGCCTCCTCACAAGGGGAAAGTTCACTGAAACTATCACAAGATGAATCGCAACTTACCCAAGCTCCCAAATTAGTGAAAACCCAAGATTTGAAGCATCAACACAAGGGGAAAGTTCACTGATT